GGCTGAAGATGATGAAAAATTTGACAAATTGATAGCGTGGATTCGGCAAGTTGATATCGGTTTCCAGTATGCGCATGTGCAAGGAATAATGCATAGGGATGATAACATAATAATCGATTCTACTGATCGTGTACGAATTATTGACTGGGGTATATCATTTAGAAGAGGCGAGAGCAACCAGAAATCATTTATGGGTAAACCATTGTTTGCACTACTATGTATTTTATTACTGTATCCCAGTCAATCAAATGTCTCATATGAATATGAGGAAAAGGATGATTTTGAATCACTGTTTTATATGTTAATTGGGAAAGTCATCGCTCAGAAGCTTCCTTGGGACTGGACATCGACTATGTTTATAACATCAAATACATGTATATGTATATTCGGTGCTGGAAATGATGGATATTATACGTTTTGATAACATTTATAAAATAGTCAATGATATGCACGAAAAGTTGTTTGTGAACGGTGGACCAGTTACAACATTTTTTTAATTCTTTATGGTGTGAATCATGAATTTTTTTCTTCCTGATATATGTCTAATAAAGGCTGGTCTCTATCAGCACTGCAAATGATACAAACTTGTAAGTGAATGTCAATTTATTAGCTTTTGATATAGCAGGTGATTTTCTGTTAACAATATATTTAAACACTATCATTCATTCTGATTGTTTATAGGCTAGTTATCTTGATGCAATGAAACAAACTTTGAAATCCTTGTTCAAATCTATGGAGAACTATATGAGTTTAATTAGTGTCATTGAAAGGCAAATAAGAAGCGAAATGTCAATAGATAAAACAAAGTCGTTTATATCTAGCGAATTCTGTTGGTTAATTATTACAAGATCTAAAACAACCATTTTTATTCTAGTGACATTAGCGTAATTTTTTTGAAATCACTCAACGAGACAATTGTTTTCTCAATAATTATTATATAGTGAGAGATTAAGAGCGAAAAATTCGATATATTTAAATCACTATGTGACTGCCAAAAAGATTCAAAGTAAAAATAAAGAGATATGCGGTTATGGAGTCAATTTAGCGGGGAAAGTCCCTTCTTCACGAAGATTATCCCATTTTTCTTTCTGTTGGCAAGAGTTAAATGGTAATTAGTAATTTGATAAATAAATGCACTATTTTAAATCCGATCCGATCCACGTTAAACAAATATTCCTTTCGCCCATGATATATAAATTTGCATTGAATACGTCACACTCGCTATATCTTAATCTCGAATAAAATGTCAACTTACATAATATGCAGGACATAAACTATGATACGCCTTAAAGAACTGTTTGCAAGGAGGGAAATCTTCGCCACGGGCGTTTATACATCTATAATAGTCGACATAGTTTTGCCAGCAGTGTCTTGTTTGGTTAGTGTTTGGGAAACGAGCATCAAAGCCAACTAAACAATAATATTGATGAGCCTTTAGCAAATAAAGGAAATATCAAATGGACTGGAATACGAAATAACTATCCAAAAGTACCTGTTTGAATTTTAATTGTGGTGGATTCGCTTTATATGTATATACAAATAAAGCTCATAATCAATTAATAAGGTATATTGACAACTTTTTTCTTAGTTTTATCGACGCTTACCCCTCAGAATCAGACATGGTTTCTCCCAAGTCGAGTATTGTTAGATGGCAAAGTGCAAATAAGATTTCGTATTATAAAAATTGTCACGTGTTAATTTGACTATCATCTCTTTTTTTTGCATTAAAAATATTAATAATTTAATAATATTTGGTGGTAGTACAATATAGTAACTATTATATACAAAAAATGTCGAGAATTCTATAATTAATTAATTTGAATTGATGAATGTTTGTTGGTATATCCTTTAATATAACAGCCCAAATATATGACTGACAATAGAAATAAATAAGACTGGGGCAGTATAAGCGCGAACAGCATTTTGGATTGGAACAATTCGATCTGCTTTACTATATATTGGACCGACACATGTACCTAAAGAAATAAAATAGTTAATAAAGGTACTTGATCAAATTGAAATAATTAATTATAATACAAATACTAACATCCGCCAGCTCCTTGACAAGTAGCAGTATAATTTTGGAACGCGCAAAGGACATCACGACAATATTTCCCATAATCGACACACTGTTGCCATGTCATTGTTCCATTAGCACCTGCATATGGATTCGCCGGAAGACTTGGCAAAGGATTATTACTATCTGCAGTGATCTGTGTTGGATTTGTGGGAGATGGTAATGTTGCTGTTACTGGGGCCCCTTTATCAGTTGCTGAGGCTGCATTATTACCGTTTGAGGCAGTAGCAACATTATTTGTTGGAGTCGCTGATCATCATAAATTTTCATCATTAGTAAAAAGAATTTAGAGTGTAAGAGAAAATCAGATGCCATATCTATGCAAAAAAATCAGGTAATAAATGTCACTACCCTAAACAATAATAACCACCTTTTTGTGACAATCCATTAGCAGAACTAGTTTGCGAAGGAGCAACATTATTCGAATTAGTATTTACTGCGCCATTATTAGAATTACCACCACTGTTAGAAGAGCTTCCACTATTACTGTTACCATTACTGTTGCCGTTGCCATTATTGTTGTTATTACTATTGCCATTTCCATTACTATTGCCACTGCCATTGCTATTGCTATTGCCATTACTATTGCTATTGCCATTACTATTACCACCACCACCACCACTTGAACCGGTGCCAGTACCACTACCATTAGAAGTTCCTCCACCAGCACTTGTCCCTGTATTTCCAGCATTCGTACTTGGGCTTGTAGTCGGTGCGGCTTAAATAAAAAATTCAAAGAGTTAATTACTTAAATCTCTCGTAGTTTTCTCTAAAAATGCATACCTGCATCGCAGACAGTCACCACCAGTGCGGCTGCCAGTAAAACAAACGATATCATCGCCCAAAGCTTTACTTTACTATGATTATTATATTTCTTATTCATTTTATGTGTATGCGGGTAAACTATTATATGTGTGTGTATGCGTCTGCGTGTAGCGTGTAGTTAAAATGTTTTGTGTTAGATGTTTTATAAGAAAACGAGATTTTAAATTACTGAGATGGAAATTTGAAGAGAGATAGGAGGGTGGTGTTTATGAAGATAGAATACACATACATAGAATAAGGAGGAAGTGATAGTATAGGGGCACTTTCTTTAAGAAAGTGCACCGATCGTATGAAGGGAGGAATAAGAAGAAAGGAGGGATAAAAGAGCGATATAAGTAAATTCACACGATTTTTCGGGTTCCTCTAACACACGTAAATTGTTTGTGTAACTTGGAAATTAACTTTTTACCACGTGGTAGACATTTTTGTTTCTTGCATAATTAAATTAGTCGCCATGTTCACCGGTATTGTAGAACACGTTGGCACAATTATTGATCTTGTTGAATTAGATAATACCGCTTCGGGCGGAGGAGGCTGGAGTATAACTATAGGTGAAGCAGAACCTGTGTTAACGGATTGCCATATAGGTGATAGTATAGCTGTAAATGGTTTGTGTTGAGACAATTCTTCAAGAATAAAACTTTGCTACCAATTTAAATTTATGAATTTCATGTAAAAGGGACATGTCTGACTATAACGGAATTTGAGAAATCATCATTCAAAGTTGGCCTTTCTCCTGAAACTTTACGACGAACTAATCTTGGTAAAAATCCAACCAATTCAAATCAATTATCATTGTTGTATATAATTGATGTGTATTTGATTTGAATAATAGGTGATTTGAAAATTGGAAACAAAGTAAATTTAGAACGTGCAGTTTCGGCTGCCACAAGATTCGGTGGACATTTCGTACAAGTAACTATTAAATTAATCGATATATTAATACATAATCAATCATCTCTGATTAAATTCCTATTCTCAGGGTCATGTAGATTTAACAGCAATAATTGCGTCTATAACCCCAGAAACTAATTCACTCTGGTTCAAATTCACATTATCCGATCCTTCTTATCTCCGCTACATTATCCCGAAAGGTTACATTACAATAGACGGGACTTCGTTGACAGTATGCGAAGTAAATGATAAAGAAAAATGGTTTACAGTCATGCTAGTTGCATTCACACAAGAGCATGTTACAATCCCGACAAAGAAAGTTGGTGATAAAGTAAATATTGAGGTAGATATGCTAGGTAAATACGTGGAACGGATCCTCGAACCTCTAATAAAGGGTGATGGTGAAGGAGGCGGATATTTGGATAATTATGTAAAAAACTATTTAAGTAAATGATGGTTTAAAATTATTTAATGTGGTAATTTTCTTATTAAGTTATATCATTTATTATATAATTTATATATTTTTTTAGCTACGAATAAACAATATAAAAGGATATTTAATGTGGAAGCATATTCCATACATGTATTACGATCCATAATACTTTAAAATTTAGATTTACATTTTGAAATATCCGATAGCTAGTTAAAGGCATTTATTGACCCATTCTCTGCATATGATATAAATATTCAACCACCAATTCTATGCCTCAAACTTCTAATGACCATACGCTGCTAATTTCTCATTAATCTTCTTCAAATCTTTATCGCTTTCCTTACTCTTGATTGCCTTTGCTTTCAAATTAATAATACGTTTCTTTGCCAAATAATATTGATTACTACGTTCCTTACGTTTATCCTCTAGCTTCTTGACTATACCCTCATATTTCCAGCCAACTTCGCTCGACAAACGTGAGATCGTGGTGTATTTACGACCAGGTTTTAGTCGAATTACACGCAGTGCATCAGGGATCACCATACGCTTCTGACGTGCATATTCTGGTGGTATTCCCTCAAAGATTTTGAGACGGTCAAGGGCTGCGGCACCTCGTGACGTTTTGTGTGGGATCATACCACGCAACGCTTTGTAAAAAATTCGTGAAGGTGCACGAAAATGGAATGGACCACGCGCTGGGTTTACAATCATGCGTTTGCGAAGATAATTATGGTATTTAACTATCAAAAAAAAATATTAATTATGAAAAATAGAATGCTCATGGTAAAAATCAGCCATCAAAATCGGATTTCATAATAACCAAAACTCACTTTTATTTCGAAAGAAAGACCCAGAAACGTTAATTTCCTCAGCACGCACAATCACAATTCTCTGTCCAGAGAGGATTTGTTTGGCCACAATAGATGCGAGTCGGCCGAGCAAGTGACCTTTTCCATCAATAACAACCACCTAAAATAGCCCCAGCATATAACCCAAGTCACAATAAAGGGTTCACATTTTTTGCTTAGAGAAATTTTCTTCCTTGTATAAAAAAGTTTGAAGCCGCTTTACTTCATACCTTCTCAAAAGTGCTCATGATTGGCGCTTATTTTAACGAGGAGGGGATCTGTTTATGTAAAGGGAAAAAATTAACAACTCGTTTTCACCGTTATATAGAAAAAAAAATTTAGTCACACGATATCGTGGCGCATATAAAATGTGTGTCAGATTAAGCCACGGCCAGCAAAAAGATTCAAGATTAGCATCCGGGATAGGATTATATGCAAAATTGTCTTCTCGTCAAAATAGAAATGATTTATACCATTCACTTTCCGATTCCAAACAAACTTTTGTCTTTATAACGACACTTTTATACGAACTCCGTTTAACCGAAGCACTAATTACAACCGAAGATGGCTCCAGGATCGGTTATAGTAAATCTACCGAATTTACTAATGAAACCTCGGATAAACCGAATTTTTACTAATAGCAACGACCACTTCGGTATATGCCTTTGTATAATGAAATTGACAGATCGATTTTCCATTCACGTGATAAGCACAAAACCACGCCATGTCAGAAAACTTGAAATTTCGGAAGATAGCAGTCTCTCTCTTCGTTACACATTGAACTTTACCACTAAAGTCACGTGAAAAAAGTAAACTGCCGGCGGATAATGATGTCATTATAGAGAGGTTGACACATATTTCAGACGTGATGTTGATTTAACAAGTCGATCACGTGGATGGGAATAAATTCTTCCTTGAGAATTGACATCATTGGAACGTCAACTGCCACCGGAAAATAAATATCAACAACTCTGAATTACCTGAACTGGAATTCACCACGAGTTCTTTATTTTTCGAGTAAGTTGCAACTTTATGTCGGTTTTCGCTAAATATCTTAAATAATCCAAATCGAATCTCCCGTACATAGGCTATTACTTGTGCTGAACGCGCACATTTACTCACTTTCTTTATTAGGTCTATTAATAAGGTAGAAGAAACTAACCGGTTTTTCTCTATTCCTTTGCAATTCTCAAGTTTTGTCTGTTGCTTAATTTGTTGATTCTTTAATAATGAAACTTGGCAGCTATTGTTAAATCCTGTTTTTCGAAGAGATTATTTTCGAAAAGAATATCACTAGTCAAGATTGTTTTTTCACCAACTATAATCTATCAATGATTGAGCATTTTAAGAACCTCATTCGCCATGGCAAAGCCAGCAAACATATGCGAGATAATAGTAATCGGCAGCAAAAAGTTCCACCGCTTTCGCCTGAAGGGACCCTCACCAATTCTCGCATTTACCCAGAAATTGTTCCAAAAGTTGATAATGCGACGGCTGTAGCTCAAATTGTTGCTGAGGAGCGTAATCAAAAAGCTAAAGTACCGAAATATCCCGGTTTACAACGTTTTCAAATATTGGAAAAAATGGGCGAGTGAGTGGTATTTCCTAGCATACAGATGTAAAAGATCTATGAAAATTTATTAACCTTATTTTAATTATTTATTTTAATTTCATCTGTCTTTGAAATATCCAATTGAAAATTTTAATTCTACTTCCCAGCGGTGCATTTAGTAATGTGTACAAAGCATACGACACCGTGTCTCAGAAAAAAGTTGCGATCAAAGTTGTCCGGAAATATGAACTTAATAATTCACAGGTACGAATCAGAATCCAATGAATGATAAGTGAGAATCGAATCGGAAAAAGGGAAATCTCTGTCACCATAGCTCAAGCTCACTAGCATACATAGTTGGACGAAGCTACCCTTTTTAGGCGACTCTATATAATAACCCCTTCTATGATTGTAAAGAGATTCCATTTACAAAGTCATATTTCATGCGACATTATTCACTTCTCTAATGTTTATAGGAGAGGCATCTTCACCGTGATGTGAAGAATAAACCTCGTGCTATTGAGGTTAGGCTTGTTCGTTTTAAGAATTTAGGGTTCTTGTCCGAAATGACATTATTTCCCGAATAGAATGTTATAATAGGATTTGGGCATTGTTATTCAATATACGCTTGAAATAATACGGATGCCCCAAGTTGCTTATATGGATTTCGAGAGTTATTGAATATCAATTCTCACTTCATTTATATAATACAATATTGATGAAATAGTACTTAATTTTTTTTTGTTTCTATTATTATAGCGCGCCAACATCCTTAAAGAAGTTCAAATTATGCGTCAATTGAAACATCCATCGATAGTATCACTCATTTCTTTTTCGGAAGATAAAGAGTACTATTATCTGGTTCTAGAATTAATGGAAGGCGGTGAATTATTTCACCAGATCGTAAAATTGACGTATTTTTCGGAACCTCTAGCACGACATGTTATCGTTCAAGTCGCTAAAGGAATCAGATATCTGCATGAAGAAAAAGGTGTCATCCATCGGTAATCTTTGTTAAAAAATATGTGTAAAGAATTAATCTACTTATGCAGATAAATAATTGACGAATTTGGATTTATCTAGTGATATTAAACCCGAGAATTTATTATTTGAGCCAATTCCTATAATACCATCAAAAGTTCCGCCTCCACCCCCTGGTCCTAACGATGAGCCTAAAGAGGATGAGGGCGAATTCATTCCTGGCGTAGGCGGAGGAGGCATTGGTGTAGTAAAAATAGCAGATTTTGGCTTATCAAAGGTAGTTTGGAACGAGCACACAATGACACCATGCGGAACTGTTGGATACACCGCACCAGAGATTGTCAAAGACGAGCGCTATAGTAAAAGTGTTGACATATGGGCACTTGGTTGTGTCCTCTACACACTTTTATGTGGATTCCCGCCTTTTTATGATGAAAGCATACAGGTTCTCACTGAGAAAGTTGCAAAAGGGCATTATACTTTTTTAAGTCCTTGGTGGGATGATATGTCTGCTTCTTGTAAGTAAAATTTAATATCATCACATAATTCAGTGTGGATATCGGAGATTTTTATTTTATAGATCTAAATATTTTATTTTATCACGATAGCAAAAGACTTGATCACACATTTGCTTGACGTGGATCCCGAAAAACGTTATACAATTAAGGAGTTTTTCGAACATCCGTGGGTAAAAGAAGAGGTAAATAAAAAAAAAGAAAACATTAATTATGGATCTTTTATAAATAATCTCTAATAATTTGTAATTTTTTGTGCGCCTTAGCCCTTTTATCCCAGTGAAACAACAATTGTCCCTCAAAAAGTTGAAACTGCAGTAGAAACCGCAGTTACTTCAAATGAAACGAATATTACTGATGATCAGATGCCAGAGCTTAGTTCTCCTTTATCCACGCCTGCGGGTCGTTCAAATAGATTACCTCAACCCGAAGTTTTCTCACCTGGTTTGGTTTCATTAAAGGAAGCTTTTGATGTAAGCTATGCTGTACACAGAATGGAGGAAGAAGCTGCACATCGTAGAAAGGTTAATGTAAATAAAAACAACAACGTTCCGCACGAGAATTTCTTGAAAAATATGAACACAATAACTCAAGATTATGATGAAGAAGACGAAGATGAAGATGAGGTGTTAACCTGGTCATCGCCTTCTATAGACCAGGTAAAGATTGAATCTTCGGCAGGAGGTACAACTTATCCACACGCCAATGAACCTATAAAAATGCAGACCGGTAATAAACATGTGTTCATGCAACCTTCTACGGCGGCCAAACCAAAGAAAAATCAAGCAAGGCGAATGGATTTCGATCTTAATCTTGAAGGTGCAACTTTGCTAGGAAGGAGAAGGAAAGCGTTGCAAGCTGTGGGTTATTAAGTTATTTTTCAAGATGGCCATCATTCTCTTTGTGAATAACTTTTTCATAGATCAACAGCTTGTTTATAAGTATTTCTTTTTGATGATGTATATATTTATTATTCATTTCTTGTATATCAATCTGTTTGAAATAAGTTATTTTTGCTTGTTATCGTATTACGTAAACTTCAGATTTTTTTCATTAAAATAACGAACATTTTAAAGTTGCATGTGTTTCGATTTTACCCTTGAAATTGAATCCAATATGAATAAATAAAGTTAGTCTTTACTATGCATATCGTATCCCATATAGGTTCAAG